TGACACTTCGTGACACTGACACTCACCTTTTGAGGTTATACAACGTTGTTAAGTTTACTTAACAATGCGAAAACCAACGCATACCCTGACATACGCAGGGCTGTCACATGCGAACAGAAGTTCGAAAAACAATCTCACAAATCGAAGAAGAGTGAAAATATGTGTGTATGTGTGGAAAACGCAAAACAAGATAATGTGAAAAAGGACCGGGAAAATTCAATAAAACAAGGAAATGTAAACAGCATACCTTGAGCGGGGCATTGACAATGGTGTGAATTGTCATGATGTAGAAAATAAAATTACACGAAAGAACCCTGAAGCCAGAACGTAGAATAAGAAGGGATTTATCTATTTTTGACATATGTGCAAACACACACACACACACACTAGCACTCTTACACAGCGTGGGAGTAGGTGTTTTCAGTCGAATGTCAAGTTAATATTTCTTGGAGGCTTACTTTGAAATGTGTGTACGTGTGCGTGTGAGTGTTAGGGTCCTCTCCTCTTTGTTGAAAAACGAGGGGTGACACCCTAAGTTCAACTGTCACTTTCTCTGACATTCTTCATATGTTATCCCTTCACATTTGAAGGCGAATGCTGTTCGCAGCCCGAAGGGACATATTTGTACATTAACATAAGTCTTTATTGAAGGAAACAGTTGTTTCGGGGATTTACAACGTAATTTAAACAAACATTTAACATTTCTAAATGAAGGCAACAGGTGTTTACTTTAAAATGTAAAATTTAAGGGGAGTAATTTTAAACGAGGTAAAAATTTTACATCGGAAATAAACTAAAAGCAAATAATTTTCATAAAAGAAATTAAAAGTACATTTAAATCCCAGTAGATTTAAGAAAAGATAACAAGTAAAATGTGCGTTTAGTTCTTATAAAGGCTTTACTTCCTATACCCTTCACCACCATGTTTATCAAAGTTAAATAAAATAATGAAAAAAGTAGTAAAGTATGTTAACTTCAAATATCAATCCGAATATCAACAAGTAAAAGTCTGTAAGTTCGGCCGGGCCGAACTTTGAATGCCCTCCACATTTGGAACGAATTTGGCAATTCTCAAAAACATTAAAATCCGTTAAAAATTCTGTTAAAATCTCAAAAATATTGAATGCAGCTGTTATATTATGGTCTAAAAGACGACAGGACCTGCATAGGTAACTTTTGTCATAAGCCATTGCAATAAATGCGAAATTTAAAAAAATCGGTGAATAATGTAGCTAAATTCATCAAAATACCGAATATTGGGAGTAACGTTATATGGGGGCTATACGAAGACGTGGACCTGAACAGACAATTTTCTGTCATGGTTTGTAGGATCCAATTTGAACTTCAAATGCCAAATTTGAAACAATTCCGGTGAATAATTTCGCAAAAATCAACAAAGTACTGAATATCGAAAGGTATCGTTATATGGGGGCTGAACAGACAATTTTTCATCTTAGGCTGTAGTACCAATTTCGAACTTCAAATACCAAATTTGAGACAATTCCGGTGAATAATGTCGCTAAAATCATCAAAATGCCGAATATCGGGAGGTATTGTTATATGGGGCCTACACCAAAACGTCAACTTACTTGGCCCAGTTTCAATACCGAAAGTACTGCAGGCGTAATATACATTTGTTTAAAATTTTATCAATATTATTCAGTGATTTCCACAGACGAACAGACGAATAGACGGACGGGCATTGCTAAATCGACATTTGTTATGCTGATTAAGAATTTATCTACTTTGTGGGGTCTAAAATGTATATTTCGAGGTGTTACAAACGGAATTACAAACTTAATATACCCTCCATACTATGGTGGAAGGTATAAAAATAACGAATTCGAATGTCAAAAATAACGAAATACATATCATCACCTAATTTGGTTGGAAATTGTGACCGAAACCTTCGAAAGACGGAATAACGGGAGGTACGCTTATGTGGAGTCTATACCTAATGGATCAATATAGTGTATTTTTAATACCAACGAAATGACAAATATAATATGCCCTCCATTGTATGGTGGAGGATATAAAAACACATTGTAGGGTTCAAGACGCACTTCATTTGAGGTTACGTATAATTCTCCAACAAGGCATTACTTGAAAACATCACTAATGGTACTAAAAATTTAATTCATTGCATTGTTAAAACGGATAGAGGTAGAATCCTTTAATGTTGGTGATGGGTTGTAGGATAGATGCACTAATGCTTTTTTTTGAAATTCAGACTAAAGATGCACTAAAAGTACTATAAATCTAATCACTATATTGTTGACCACTTGACAATATGTGTTCGGATAGAGCTGAGATATAGACATTTGGTACACGAATTAATTCGAGGGACTTGCGTTGATATAAGGAGGTGGTTTGTGAATGTGTACTGAATTTAAGAATTGTACTAAATGGTTCAAATTTTGGCATAATTTGGATTTGGATAAACGGATAATGGAGCTGGAAATTTTAAATAATGATATTGAGGTCACTGTTAGTATGTAGGGTTGAGATTTAAAGGTGGTTTTTAAAATATTTACTAAAAGGTTCGAAAAGTACTAACTGGTACAAAATTTGGTATGTGATAAAAGGTCCTTCAGTTTATAACTTGATATAAAGAAATAGTGGTCTTTTATTAAATGCTATTCACTTAATATAAATTAAACCAGATCTTAGCACCAGATACCTACAGAGACCTTAATATCAAATTTCGTGATTACAGCTATATCCCTTTACCCAATAAACAATTTAGAACCATTTAGTATCTTTCGAAAGCCACACCACCAAAACCACATAATTGTTTAAACACAGGCACAAACAATGACATATAAATTTGAGATTTAAAATTTTCAAGATTTCCGCTATTATTTCACCTAATACAAAATTTAGTACCATTTCGTACTTTCCGTACAAATATGGTAAATCTTAAAAACCAGCTCCATATCTAAACCTTAGACACCAACAGTGACATCCATATCAAATTTCAGGATTTCAGCTCTATACCTTCACCTAATACCCAATTTAGTGCCATTAAGTACTTTTCGTACAAATATAGGACGCATTTCCAAAGTACCGTCAAGCCGCAAACACAGATACCATTTGCAATCTAAAAATAAAATTTCAAAATGTTATCTCGGTCCTAATACCAAATTTCAGATTTAGTAGCACTTAGCTCTTTTCGAAAAATTATAGTAAACATTTCCAAAATCTCATACATATCATAACAACCGACAGCAATAGTGACATCACATTTAAGGATTTCAGCTCTATTTCTTCACCCAATACCAAACTTAGTACTATTTAGTTCTTTTCGTACAATTATAGTACACATTCCCAAAGCCACCTCCATATCTCATTTCCAGATTCCAAGAAAATCTCAATATAAAATTTGAGAATTGCGCGTACAGATATGAGACACATTACCAAACCACCGCCAAATCTCAATCACAGATACCATCAATAACCTTAATATCAAATATTAGAAATATGTCTTTATCCGGTCACCCAATATCAAAAATTGTACCACTCAGAATTTTTGGACAATTATAGTACAGGGTCCACAATACAAAATTTCCAAATTCCAGCTTCATCCCTTCAACAAATTCTAAAATTAGAACTATTCAGTACATTTCCTATATTTACGAAACTACCTCCATATGTTCAGGCTACACAAGAACAGCGACTCTAATATAAAATTTCAGATTTCAAGCACTATCTTTTCACCCAATTCAAAATGGTGCCATACTACTATTTAGTACTTTTCTTGTACTAGTAGGTTGCATGACCCCCTCTTTACCACAAGTCTACCACCAATGGGAACCCCAATACAAAATTTAAAATTTTCACTTTCAACCGTTCACCCTAAACGAAGTTGTTCCAAATTTAGTACCATTTAGTACTATTCACACACTTAGTACACAATTCCAAATGAACCTTCATATATCAAACTAACTTTCCAACTTGATTCTCATAAAAAAATTCAAGCTGTTAGCTCTATTTATTCTCATAATAATAAATGGTACCAGTATGGAGTTTAGTACTATTTTAGAACTTTTCATAACCTTAAAGTTCGAATTTCTATGAAGCCTTCAGTACATTTTTTCTGCACCCCATCAGTAACTCTCATTTCATTTGTTCAATACAAAGTATTCAATATTTAGTATTTTTCGTATCCTTTAAGTACAAATCTCCACACACACCCAGCTTTATCAAACAGCTAAGAACCTAGATTGATCATGGTGCAAAATTTCAAATTTCTAACGTTAGTATTTTCGTCTGCCTTTGACTTATTTTTGTATATATTATATCATTATTATATATTATTGCATATATAAATATAATTTTTATGTATAAATATTCAGCTTCCACTAAATTTAATCGCACAAAAATGCTGAGTTTTTTTTTTGAAATTTGCAGCTTAGGTTATGTGATATGGGGCCATTCGAAACCCTTTACTTGAAAAATATAATATGTTTTTATCTATTATCTATTTTTTTATAATCTGATTATTTCATGTATGTTGTAAACTCTTACAGCACAAGAATTAGAATAAATCCTGCACCTGATACCTCAAGTAAATTATTTTATAAATTAAATTAATAATAATAATAATAATAATAATAATAATAATAATAGTAATAATAATAATAATTGTTTATGGGGAAACGTAAAGAGGGCAACACCAAAAAAAAATCCCCATAAACGTCGCCCGCTCCGCTCTTTTTTTTTGACGGCGGTCACTGATAACGACACGACACAGGACATTTATTATTTGTTCTTCTTTTGTTCTTTTTTTCGTTCGTTGGTGCATTTTGTGTGATCGGTCATTGCCAGTGCAGCCGTCAGCAGAGATAAAACATGAAACTAAAACCTAATAAGAAAGAAAAAGTGAAATAAGAATAAAGAGAAAACATAAACTAAAATCATATGGATTAAAACTAATACAAACAAAATACTATTGTAATAATAATAAGTAATAAGTGAATTGAAATAAATAAAACAAAATTGAAGAAAAAACTGTGCGGTTAGTTATTATTTGTAAAGGCGGTTCCAGGCCCGTTTGCCCAACATCTTCCCCGCGGATAGCTGCTAGTGGACGACCACGACTAGGACAACAAGCCGTCAGTACCCAGGCAATTTCCAGCGTGACAATCGTAAGTAGTTCTCAAACGACAGGTGGGAACCAGGTTGGCCAGGGACGAGTGGTCCGTGGTGGTTAACCCTAGAAAGGTTGAGGAGTATCCCCAACATATGGTCCTTTGTGAACCGGTGAAGAAGAAAAAAAAAAAAAAAAAAAACATATCTCATATCTTGCCCATGGTGTTGTGATAAAGTAAAGAACAAAAATTTGCTCGACAGTTACACCCAAATTTGCAAAAAAAAATCAAGGCAAAACAAGTTGTTGACTCCTGGGTACCGTTACAAAAATTTGAAATTTCTACCAGTTGTTGGTCATTTGCCGTGTCGTTGTTGTTGGGTTGAACCGGCACTTTTCGTCATCATCACTTTTGGTGTTTTTGTTGGCACTTAATTGGGGTGCACATTGTTGTTGTTTTATGCTGACTTGTCAGTTGGTTGCTTGCTCTTGCGCTGACAGTGCTGCTTGTGTTCAGTTGGGTTGCTGCTGCGTTGTCTCAGTGGCTGTGTTTACTTGCTCTTTATTGCAATAATTGTAGTTGTGTGTTTCTCTTACTCGCTCTTACTGCTGAGGGTGAATTTTTTGCTGAGACGAAGTGTTGATGTGAGATTGTTTGCTTGACTGGTGGCAGTATCTCGTTGGAAAAGAGAAGCAAGGAAATAAAGCAAACAAAAACATTTGGTTTTATTGTTGTTTGGCTGTCTCTACTGTTGGTTGTTTGCAAATCCGAACAATTCTCCTTCTCAATATAAAAAACTGGCTCATGTTAAAACATAATGACGTTTTATGGATCATTTGGATCTTTGTACTTTGATATGTCAGTGAGACATTGAGTTGAGTTGAATGTTACATATGAGTGAACTGTTGGAAAAAAAAAAAAACACTTATTGGATTTGGGCTATGTTTTTGAGTGTTTTATATTTGAAACATTTTTGGGCAAATTGTAGCCATCATATATATGATTATTGGATGAGCAAACAACAATTTTGTGGCATAAAACTTACTCAATAAAAATATTTTTGGAAAAATAAAGAAAATATTTTTCTGGAAATTGGCGACTTGCCTTTGAAATTATATTAAATTGGAATCTTAAATTTTTGGAACATTTTGGATATTTTTGGAAACTTGCCCACGGGAAAGAAAATTAAAAAGAAAATTGTCGTGTGTAATTCGACATACTAGATACCATTTTGGCAACATTTATATTTCTTGCTCTTTGAAAGTTGGATATATTGCATAAAATAAATTAGAAGTCAATTGGCTGACTGATAAAGTGGAATCTAATTTGTTGATATTCTTGCTCATGTTGTAAGAACATAAGCTTTCACTTAGAAAATGGCGAATCTAGAAGAATTCTTAACTCAGTGTGAGGAAATTTGTTGCTTTGAGGAAAATCTTAAGGATACAGACGCGTCGGGATACAATGAATCGGCGATTGAAGCCGAGCGGGCTGAGATCCAAAGTTTATGGGCCGAATGGAAGGAAACATACAAACATTGTACTGCTGATCCCGAATGCAGTAAGAAGAATAAGGAGGTACTTAAAACAAAAAAGAAACTTGCTCATGAGAGCTATATAAGATGCGTGAATATTCTGGGAGATTGGAAGGAGAAAATTAAGGTTGTACCGAGCTCCTTTAATCAAAAGTCAACTTCTTCTATTTCTGTACCACCATGCGATACGGAAATTTTTCAAGGAGATTATATATCATGGCCCAGTTTTCGTGATTTATTCACAGCCATATATATAAATAACAAAAAGCTTAGCTCTGTGGAAAAGTTATATCATCTTTTTCAAAAGACGAGCGGTGAAGCTAGAGATATAAATCGTCACATTCCTCTAACGGCCGAAGGGTTTACGATTGCATGGGACAACCTCAAAAACCAATACGAAAATAAGAGAATATTGGTGAATACCCAGTTGAGAAATTTATTCAATTTGACTCATTGCGGACAAGAATCGGCTAGCAGCTTAAAGAAATTACAGCGTGAAGTGACAAATTGTATTTCGGTCCTTGAGTTATACAAAATTGATGTGAAGTCATGGGACCCAATTTTTGTATACCAATGCTCCTCTAAATTGCCGAAGCTTACTCTTTCACTTTGGGAACAGTCCATAGTAAATAAAACTGAAATGCCTCGTTGGGAGGACTTGAATAAATTTCTGACGGATAGGTTTCAAGCTTTGGAAAGTGTATCGGATATAACTTGCTCGAATGGGACGCAAGCCAATCAAAACTCTCGCCCCAAATTTAACCAATATGATAAACCTAAGCAGTTTAGAGTTCATCATACTAAAACAAATGATAGTAAATGCAGATTGTGCAAAGGGAGTCATTCTTTGCAGTCTTGTACTAAATTTCTGAGTATGGATTTTAGAAATAGGCTAAATGCTGTAAAAAGAGAAAATAGGTGCATAAATTGTTTAGCTCAAGGTCACAGAGCGGCAGACTGTAGATCAGGCGGTTGTGCAAAATGCAAATTAATGCATAATATTCATCTTCACAAGAATAAAGTGTATCCAAATAATGGGAATAATGTTGATGAATCTACTAACTATTCTAACCCAATTACAAACTCGCCCTCTGATGGACCTACAACTTCTTCACGTGCCCGAACATTTCACACAAAGGTCTCTAGTAGGACAATGCTTGCTACAGCTTGGGTAAACATTGTTAAAAACGGAGTTGCATATAGAATTCGATCGTTGGTGGACCCTTGCTCAGATGATACATTTATATCGTGTCGTATTCAGAAAATGTTAAAATTGCCAACTTGTTCGGTGTCTGCTGATATTTCAGGACTCGGTGGAGAGCATTTAACAAAGTGTTCGAAAATTGCATCTGTTACAATTGGGTCAATAAGGAACCGATCTTTCTCGTTGGACTTAGAAGCGTTTGTGGTACCAGAAATAACTGGAGATATCCCTACACAGCCATTAGATAAAGTGTGTGTTGAGGAACTTCCGGATTTAGATTATGCGGATCCCAAATTTTATGAAAGTGGCCCAGTTGACATCTTACTCGGGGGAAATGTTTATCCAATTATTTTGCTAAGTGGGGTTAAGAAGAATATACTTGGCTCTCTGGTAGCCCAAGAAACTGTTTTTGGATGGATATTGACAGGACCATCTACAAATTTGGGCAAGCGACCTACAATTCATGTCTCACATTGTACTAGAGTTTCGGTTCAAAATCAGTTGGCTAAATTTTGGGAAATTGAGGAGGTGCCAAAAGTCCCTATAATATCATCGGACGATCAGATGTGCGAGGAAATATTTCGATCTACTACATTGCGTTGTCCCGATGGGAGATATGTAGTAGACTTGCCCTTCCGATCGGACATATCTTTCGCTCTTTCGTCCAAATCTAGTCGGTATATAGCTCTTACTCAATTTTTGCGTAACGAAACCTCGTTATTGCGAAATCCAAGTCGCAAGTCTGATTATGAGGAGGTTCTTTTAGAATATTTGTCCTTGGGACATATGGAGAAGGTTGAAGGACTTATTAACTACCAGGATTGTTTTTATTTGCCCCACCATGGTGTGTTTAAGCCCGAAAGCACAACGACAAAGTTGAGGGTAGTTTTTAATGCCTCGTGTCCCTCAGTTCATGGGAAAAGTTTAAACGATGCGTTATACGTTGGTCCTACATTGCAGAAGGATATTATATCTTTGGTGTTAAATTGGCGCATATACAAATATGTATTCAATGCGGACATTTCAAAGATGTATCGTCAAATTTGGATCAATCCAAAACACACAAAGTATCAGAGATTACTTTTTAGAACCTCCCCAGATGAAGAAATAGTTGACTATGAGTTGAAGACAGTCACTTTTGGTGTAAATTGCGCCCCTTACCTGGCCCTCAGAACGCTTTTGAAATTAGCGGATGACGAGGAAAATTTGTTTCCTATTGGCTCGAAAATTTTGAGAAATAACATGTATGTCGATGACGCCTTGGTGGGAGTTCATAATGTCTCAGAAGGACTTAAAGCTCGTAACCAACTCACAGGCATTTTAGAATCAGCTGGCTTTGAACTTAGAAAGTGGACATCTAACTCAAAAGAAGTTTTGAATGGTCTTGCTCGTGAGCATCTCTTGAATGCAGAATTTCTTGAACTCGGTGACAAGAGTTCTGCTAAGACTTTGGGAATTAGGTGGAATGCCGCCTCTGATAGCTTTTACTTTGTAATTGAAAAAATCGAAGAAAGAAGTTCATATACAAAGAGACAAGTTTTATCAACCATTGCAAGATTTTTGACCCTCTCGGATGGCTTGCTCCGATTGTTGTTACGGCAAAAATTCTATTGCAACAGCTTTGGTTGGATGATATTGGATGGGATGATCCACTAAAATCTCTTACTCTGTTAAATTGGAAACATTTTGTATCAAATTCCAAAGGAATAGAAGAAATAAGCATACCGCGTTGGGTAAAATATTCGCCGAATTGTAATATAGAAATTCATGGGTTTTGTGACTCATCGGAGTCGGCATATGCGGCAGCCCTTTATTTGAGAGTGGAAATTGGTGGCTCTATTTTTGCAAACTTACTCGTAGCCAAGTCAAAAGTTGCTCCTTTGAAGAAAATGTCGTTGCCCCGTTTGGAGTTATGTGGAGCTCTTCTGCTAGCGGAATTAGTAGATTCGATTAATTCACAATTAGAACTACCAAAAGCTCCGCTGTTTGCTTGGTCTGACTCAACTATAGTCTTATCATGGCTCAAAAAACCTTCGTATACTTGGACAACCTTTGTGGCGAATAGGGTTTCGATCATTCAGGAAAAAGTTGGAAATGAATGGCGTCATGTTCCGACCGATGAAAATCCGGCAGATCTAGCAACCCGGGGGCGGACTCCCTTAGAGCTTAAGGAGTCTGATTTGTGGTGGCATGGGCCTCATTGGCTGAAGCTAGATAGTAAAAAATGGCCTTCCGCTGTGGCGATTACGGAGACTAGTCTTGAGTCAAAACCTATCAAAGTTAATCTTGCTCGATCTACCGTGGAAGAGGACGTTTTAGGACGGTTTTCTCGCCTATCCACTGCTGTCCGCGCCATTGCTTACGCTTTTCGATTTGTCCGAAGAACCCATCCGGAGAGTAAAAAGTTGGCCCACTTTGAAGGTATAAAGCTTTCTTGCAAGGAAATTAGTTTTGCCCGTTATCGTTTGATGTCTTTGTCTCAAAGAATTCACTTTCCCTCAGAGTATGATTGTCTCACGAAAAATAAACGATTGGAATCAGGCAGCTCTTTACTTTCTTTAAATCCTTTTTTAGACAAGGATCAACTTATTCGGGCAAACGGGCGCTTAAGTTCCTCCCTTACCCTCTCGTATAACGAAAGACATCCAATAATTTTGGCTTATAGAAGCCAATTTGCCAAACTCTATGTCGATCACGTTCACAGGCAGACTAATCACGGAGGCATTCAACTTACTCTCGCCACTATTCGACTCGAATGTTGGATCATCAGAGGGAGAAATTTGGTGAAAACCCACTATAGATCATGTACTCGGTGCGTCTTGGCTCAAAGAAAACGACGAACTCAACTGATGGCTGCACTTCCTCCTGGCCATTTTCCACATCCGGGGTAGATTTCGCCGGGCCTTTCGAAATAAAAACGTTTAGCGGTAGAGGTTGTCGCATTTCGAAGGGTTATATCTGCTTGTTCGTATGCTTTACAACAAAGGCTATCCATTTGGAACCTGTCAGCGATCTGTCCACCCCTGCCTTCATGGCCGCACTTTCTCGTTTTATAGCCAGACGTGGGTGTCCTCTCAATATGTACTCGGACAATGGCAAAAATTTCGTGGGTGCTGATCGAGAACTTCGGGCTAACTTCATGAAGATTGTCTCAGAAATTAAGGAAGATGCCGTTACTCGATATGGATTTCAAAAACTAGAATGGCATTTCATACCTGCCTCAGCTCCCCACATGGGTGGTCTCTGGGAAGCCGGGGTAAAAAGTTGTAAAAGCCACTTGAAAAAGATCGCAGGACAGATTAGACACACTTTCGAAGAATTTTCGACTATACTAGCCAACATAGAAGCGTGTCTAAATTCTCGACCTCTTACTCCTCTATCCGAAGATATTGATGACTTCAATGCCCTTACTCCAGGACATTTCCTTATTGGAAGTTCGTTACTTTCCCCAGCCGAGCCAGAAGAAGTCGAATGTAAATCATCTTTATTGAATCGTTGGCGACGTTTGAAGTTTATTTCTCAAGAGTTCTGCCGTCGATGGAAGTCGGAATATCTCAAGGAACTTCACAAGCGCCCCAAATGGAAAAGAGCCCAGGATGATTTGCGTTTAAATGACCTAGTAGTGGTACAGAATGACGCTCTTGCCCCAACTGATTGGCGTTTGGGTCGAGTTATAAAATTACACCATGGTCAGGACACTCGAGTACGTGTTGTGGACTTAAAAACCCAATGTGGTATTATCTCTCGCCCGGTCCACAAATTAGTTGTACTTCCTCGCTCAGAATAAATCCTGCTCCGAATTCCAGCCAAAATGGTCCCATGAAGTCTTGCTCTACGCAATTGTATTATTAACTACCTTTCCCTTCCTTACAGATGAGCTACAATGATGACTTCAAATGTCCTCTTTGTCATACGCGACATTCTTTACGGCACTGCAGATCTTTCCTCCAGCTAGCCCCCGAAGGAAAAGCTGACTTTGTGCGCAGATCGAAGTACTGCCGTAATTGCCTTGGTATGGGTCACCGTATCGCCTACTGTCCCTGGCAGACCGGGTGTCGTGTTTGTAAACTCGCCCACCATACGCTTATGCACCCCTTGGATACGAGCCAATCATATTGGACGAAAATGACAGCGGAGGCATTTCTGCACAGTCCTGGCAAAATAGAACCTGCAGTAAAAATCAGGGTCCTGCTCAACCCTATGGCCCAGGATAGCTGCATCTATTTAGGTCATCCTCTGCCAAAATACAATCCTCAATTTGGCCCTTTCTTCAAGGTGGTGCTGACTTCGACGAACAATAATGTAAGGACGTTTACAACGATAGTAAGGGTATGCGAGTCGGACCATCCCATTGAACCATGGCACTACCTCGACGTCAGCCGTGTATCATTTACTTACCCGCGAAATGTTGTAGCTGACACGCATTTTTACCGACCTGGTCCAATAAGCGTCGTTTTGGGGAAAGATGCAGCTGACGGCATATACATGGGACTGCCTATCTTGGAACCAAATATGCCTTATGTCCAAAACACTATTTTGGTTGGACCTTTTTTGGAGAAATGCCCAAGAGGTGTTAATCATTGTACCATCCAGGCTGGATTCTGGTGAATTCCTTTTTTATGTTATATTAACATTTATACAAACACACAATTTAATTAGTTTACAAGTTTGAATTTATTTTGTTTTTCTCCAAGTTGGGAGGAATCCCAACGGGGGGGAGGATGTTTATGGGGAAACGTAAAGAGGGCAACACCAAAAAAAAATCCCCATAAACGTCGCCCGCTCCGCTCTTTTTTTTTGACGGCGGTCACTGATAACGACACGACACAGGACATTTATTATTTGTTCTTCTTTTGTTCTTTTTTTCGTTCGTTGGTGCATTTTGTGTGATCGGTCATTGCCAGTGCAGCCGTCAGCAGAGATAAAACATGAAACTAAAACCTAATAAGAAAGAAAAAGTGAAATAAGAATAAAAGAGAAAACATAAACTAAAATCATATGGATTAAAACTAATACAAACAAAATACTATTGTAATAATAATAAGTAATAAGTGAATTGAAATAAATAAAACAAAATTGAAGAAAAAACTGTGCGGTTAGTTATTATTTGTAAAGGCGGTTCCAGGCCCGTTTGCCCAACATCTTCCCCGCGGATAGCTGCTAGTGGACGACCACGACTAGGACAACAAGCCGTCAGTACCCAGGCAATTTCCAGCGTGACAATCGTAAGTAGTTCTCAAACGACAGGTGGGAACCAGGTTGGCCAGGGACGAGTGGTCCGTGGTGGTTAACCCTAGAAAGGTTGAGGAGTATCCCCAACAATATAATAATAATAATAATAATAATAATAATAATAATAATAATAATAATAATAATAATAATAATAATAGATAATAATAATAATAATATAATAATAATAATAATAATAATAATAATAATAATAAGAATAAGATAATAATAATAATAATAATAATATAATAATAATAATAATAATAATAATAATAATAATAATAATAATAATAATAATAATAATAATAATAATAATAATAATAATAATAATAATAATAATAATAATAATAATAGTAATAATAATAATAATAATAATAATAATAATATAATAATAACGCAGGGGCATCCTCCAAAAAGGATGACGGGCCTAACGACCCCGCGGACCCCAAGTGAATCCCGAGAGCGTCTGTCTCGAATCGAGCGGCTTTCAGGTCAGCGTCTGTTTCCCAGGTCAGGGGCGGCTGTACACCACACGTCTTTTGGGTAGGCAGACGTCAACAAAATACCCAAACCCACAAAAAACAAATATGGAGACACAAAATAATAATATAACATTACCACAACAAACCAACTAACTTCCACATCTGAACAACGGACCAACACAACCATAAGTCCACCTGTTACACGCGCTTCCTCTGTTATTCGAGAACAGACGACCGCTACGACAGGGCTGCCGCGACGCAGAATAAAGTGGACGCAAGACATGAATATGTCAGTCCTAAAGGCGTACTTTAAAGCCAAACGCGCGGAAAACCAAACTGGTTACAGGCAGCAAATGTATACTCTCTTTCTTTCCGAGTACCCTGAACTATCCCATCTCACCCAACAAAACATAGCAGACAGACGAGCTGCTATAATAAGAAATAATTTAATTCCAGATCCACACACTGATATAATAATAAAAACAATAGAAACCTTCAACGAAATGAAAATTAAGTTCTCTGGAATCAGCCCCGAAAACAGACCATATATAGCAAAACCAATCCCCTCGAAAAAACTAAAAGCAATAACATCAATAGTAAACAACCACATCCTACCACATGAATTATCAGATGAACTCAACTATAACCACCTAAGTGCACTTATATACTGTAGTGCCAACACCATAGCTACTTTAACTAACAAAACACAAAAACCCAGCATGTCAAAACCCTATAATACACCAACAAGAAGAACTAAAATAAACAATCCAACGTCGAAACAACAAACCCACCTAAAACCCCGGTGGCAATTCAGATTACAGGTAAAGATAGACCAATATAGACGGGACTTAGGCGTAATCACAAGCCACATAAGCGGGAAAACAGGGAAAAGGTGTAAAAATAAATTAAACCATATAAAAAGAAAATACATAATCCACACTCAATTTGAACCAAGGAACAGCTCTATAGAACAAATCCGCGACACTATAAAACAAGACTACTAAAATACACAACAAGACTACGATCATACATGAAAAGCTATCAAAGGTCAAAACAAAACAAACAGTTCCAAAATAACCAAAAAAGATTTTATAACAGTCTAGCCACAAATTCAATACCGATTTCATCCACCCAAAACAATATTAATATGGTGGAAATAGAGCACTTCTGGAAAGCAATCTGGAGCCAAGAAGTCAACCACAATCCTCATCCTGCATGGATAAATACTATCATCGAAAGCACCTCAACAAACCTCAACATGAGTCACTACACAATTACAGAACCCAAGTTCAAAAAAGTAATTAAAAAACTGCACAATTGGAAACAACCCGGACCGGACAAAATACACAATTTCTACTACAAGTATCTTACTCCTCTACATCCGCAAATTATTAAAATATTTAACAATATGCTAGAACATCCCGAAAATATACCTGCCGACATGAGCTCCGGGATAACATACCTCAAACCTAAAACTGAAAACCCATCTTCTCCGGCCCAATACAGACCAATAACATGTCTTAATACGGCATACAAAATTTTCACGGCATGTATAAGCCAAGAAATATCCGAATATTGCGTATCTCAGGACATAATTGCAGAAGAGCAAAAAGGGTGCCGACAAGGAACTAAGGGATGCAAGGACCAACTTATAATAGACAGTATTGTAACGAAGCAAGCTATAAAAAATCGTAAGAACATGTATGCTGCCTTTATAGATTACCAAAAGGCATTCGACTCCGTGCCACACTCCTGGATAATTGATGTATTAACCATATATAATATCAACCCAGTAATAATAAAATGCATAAAACAACTTATGCAAAACTGGAAGACCACTCTCCATGTTCGAAATGGATCCGACAATCTAACATCAAACCCAATCAGGATCGCAAGGGGGATATACCAGGGCGACTCTCTAAGCCCACTGCTCTTCTGCATAGCACTCAACCCTCTCTCTACACTCCTCAAACAAAGCCTATACGGCTATAGACTTAAAACAACTGAAAACTTCAGAATATCACACTGCTTTTACATGGATGATATTAAATTATACGCTGGAACAAAACCCAACCTGAACCAATTGCTAAAAATTGTGGAAATCTTCTCCAGAGACATCAAAATGGCATTTGGAATTGACAAATGTAAAACGCAAAACATAACCAAAGGTAAATACAATACAGGAGAAACATTTAGCACATCGACTGGACAACAAATAAATCCACTTCTAAAAGAGGAGCACTACAAATATCTGGGTATCCGACAAAACATTACTATCGACCATACAACCCATAAAGTAAAAATAAAACAAGAACTCTCAAATCGACTTCAAAAGATATGTAAAACCGCGCTCAATGGAAAGAACCTCATAAAGGCAATAAACACCTACTCAATACCTCTCTTAACATACACCTTCGGAATAATATCATGGACCCCCACAGACCTAACTGACCTAGATAGGACTGTTAGAAAAACATTGACCAGATATAAACAACACCACCCTAAATCTTGCTTGGAAAGATTATATATTCCAAGGAAGATGGGTGGAAGAGGACTTCTTAATATCCAAAACTTACATGATAAACAAATAAATTCATTAACGAACTATTTCACGACGAAAGCAACAACATCGGCACTTTACAACGCAATAGCAAGATCCGACGACAACCTTACACCATTAAACCTAAAAACTACACAGAAAGACCTACCGACAGTATTCAATCATTATTACAAAAATGGAAATCAAAACCACAACACGGGAAATATCCCAACCAAATCTACAAAACATACGTTGATTCCGAAAATACAGCAAATTGGCTCAAGTACAGTAATATATATGCCGAAACAGAAGGCTTCATAATGGCAATACAAGACGGGGTAATACAAACGAGGAACTACAGGAAATATATCATGCACGACAACACTATCCCAAACGACCAATGTAGAAGATGTGGGGCAGCCTCAGAAACAATAGCACATCTACTCAACAGTTGCACTACACTAACGCACAATCACTACACAACAAGACACAACAATATTGGAAAAATAATCTACATAATATAATCAAATCATTAAAGATCAATGAACGCACTACATACTACTACAAATACCACCCGAAGCCCATACTAGAACCGACAACTATACCATATACTGGGATAGATCAATACTGGTGAATAATCCACCAGATATAACCATACCAAATAGACCAGATATGATAATCATAGACAAGACAGCACACACAGCAAAAATAATAGATTTCGCAGTCCCACTAGACAACAATGTAGTAGAAACCATCAACACAAAGAAATCTAAATACCAACCATTATCACAGTACCTGAAAAACTCATTAACACTTCAGAAAATAGAAATTCTTCCAATAGTAATAAGCTCTTTAGGTACTATACCACTGGAAACTACAAAATCTATAGAAAAGTTAAACTTACATAGCAAGATCCTAACCGAAATGCAGAAAGCTGTGCTGATAAAGGCAACATCAGTAATAAGGGAGACAATCGGATAAGAAAATATAATGGATGCTTTACATCCCAACAGAGCGCAACTTTTGGTCAAAGACCCGGTGCGTAAATTCCAGCAAACGCTGAGAATGTATGAACTCAAATAATAATAATAATAATAATAATAATAATAATAATAATAATAATAATAATAATATACTAATAATAATAGTAATAATAATAATAATATTGTCCTTAGTTCAAATGTACCCATAAGCACATGTACATAATCCAATTATTCTTGACATATGTTAAGTGTTATATATTTGATGCGACAACATTTTTCGAATTGAAATTTTAAAGGATTTCGTCTATCTCTTTTATTTTGCAATAAAAAATATGCCTTAAGGTTTAAATACGAACAATGTGTTTGTGCGAAACAAACGTGAATATTCATTGGAAATATTGTTTTCAACAGTTATTACTGACTTATCTCTTATTAGCATTGTTAATGTGTGTGCGCGAAATTCTTTTCAATATAAATATTAACATTTAGATAAAGAACATTTCAAATTCTGAACAGTGTGGTGGCATAGGTATGACATAATGTGATAAGTATAAGATATGAATTTGCTTCAAATAAGAAAGCAATTAGGATTACCGTAAGCTATTTTTCTTTGAATAGAGAGAGATTCCATTTTAATGGAAATTTCCTAAATCAAATACGTGAGTAGTTATGTCTTAAAAGTTGAAATTCGTC